TGTTTTTCCTAATTAAAGAGATTTTTTAGATTTATTATTACATCTGTATACTATATTATTTAGTGTATTACTATGTTTAAGCTCTGACTGCATTCGTAAAACTATGATTGTGAATTTATTTGATAGTTAATTGTATAGTGTATACTATATGAATGCAAATAATTATTCAAATTAAAGTGTTAACTGGCAAATATTTATTTAATGCAATTTAACGACTTTGACTTTGACTGCGCAATACGATCTTGTTGCGAATTATTTTTTCAACCGTTATTGTCGTGAATTTAGTATAATTCACTAAGAAGCTGAACGACCACTCTCAAGATGTGTACTTCAAATTGCGTTAAATTAAAAATATTGAGCACGTATACACTTACTGCCACGTTCTAATCCAAGAGGAATTTACGCATATTTATCACTGAGATACTCGTTTTGTCCGTTTGTTTGATCAAAAATTATTACACTCATTGCAATACATTTTCGTATAGTCTTTTTAGTGCTTATAATATATAATGTAACGTCGGTTGTCGGTCTGTATACAATAAATATTACTTTTTTTTTGTGTTTCCTGGATAGTTCTTTGTATTTGGAATTTTTCGATAGTTTTATAAATTCCATTGAAAATAAAATGAAATTACCGCACGTTAAACTCACATTTAAATACATGATATACCCATCTTACAGACTCAATGATACACGCATATTGTATTTATTTTAACAAATCGAGGTCATCAATATTGGCTTTGTAGTTTTATCCGGTTATGTTCCATAAACATTTTAATATTTGGTCTATTTTTTCATTTATGCATATGGCGCATAAATATTCGATATTTACAATCTGCGAGCTGATAACGGCCACATGCGCGTTGAAATAAAGCTGTTTCCTCTTTCGTGCGTTAGCCTACCTCTCTGCCATCTAGTGATCCCTCTCTCTTTCTCCTCCCCCTTTTTTTGTGGCGTCAGTGAATCAACTCAAAAATTATTTTGACGATTTGCACAGGTCTTCTCTCCTCGCGTGTCGTTGAAACACAAATAGATTTGGGCAATTAAAATGTGTGTTTGCGTCGTGTATTGCACACACATATACATACACTGAGGCTTGTGTAGCTGTGTGCAGAGTACTCTGACGGAAATTGAATTATTATTACGTGTTATGTGTTCGTCTGTGCATAATTTGTATGTATGCATGTGTGCGCGCGTGTGTGAGCGTGGACGCATGTTACAAACCAAAATCATATTAACTTTGCGAATATATAATATTTAAAATACTCGTCCCGCATACAGTCCCCAGTAAACCGGACGCAACACTTATAGTCAACATCTACCCTTTAAAAAAGAATTCTCTGCCGTTCGTTGCTCACTAGAGTCGCTTACGCTGGTCATCGTCATATAATATAAAACTTAGCATAATAATAATTTTGATTGGATAATTTCGATGAGCGCACGTACATGGGAAAACATTATCTTATAACATGGGATTGGTTGATTTTTCGAATGTTTTTAACTGTCGACATTTGAAAACTGTGTTTGCTCGTAAAAGTCAACAGTAGGAGGTACCTGCAACTTTAAGAAAGTATACTCGTTAAGTCGTATTTGTGTATACCGTTTTTGTTTACAACCGGACCATCAGACAATTTTTTCGTCAGGTCCTCCTTTGTTGTGTATATATATTGTGCTACTTACATTGAATGCGTTAAACAGTGAGGGCCAGCTTGCAGCCCTAGCTCTTGCGTTTTGGTCTGCGCTCTTAACCATCCCTTTTGAAAAGTGGAGAGAGTCGTCACGTGGCGGTGGTGCAGTACATATTATACAGGGGTTGGACTGTGGACATCGCCTTACAATTCTTATCGTATATTTCTTCCCCGCACCGTGGGCTACTTTTTAGTTTTTTGCCAAATTTTTATCAACAAAAATGTAATATTTAGAAAAACTTTATAGGTGTATGTAAAATGTACATACTTATTATATATATATATGTCAATTAGTATATTTTATTCGCGAGTTTAATCGATAACTGCTACTTTGAATGTTTAAGTACGATGCCAGTCTTCTCTATGTACATATATAATATATAGTCTTGTCTATTACGTCATCGTAACTTCAAAATCGATTCAAACGATTGTTGTGTAAAACTGAACATATATAATGTTTATATATATATATGCAATAATGGTACATTGTTTGAAACCGTCTATGGATTTTTTCCCCGCTCCCGTTCATTACACTGGACCACCACCGTCGGCTGATGGCTTTCATGTATCTTTATCTCTCTCTCTGTCTCTCTCTGTTTCTGGTAAGTCGTCAGAACATAATACACATACCACGCGTTCTCCTTGTATATGCTCGTTTTGTCATCCCATCCAATATAATAATAGATATAGGTTATATATTATGGCAACCAAATGCGCAACAAACTCCCCGCGTTGGAATTTATATAATTTAAACTGTAGATGGATCCTATATTCGGCAGCGGCCTCCGATAAAGTTTTCGTTAGGTACAACAAAGCAGATGCAGTCCAAATGACGTATAGGTACAGACGTACAGTGAAGGAGGGCTACGATCGAGTGTGGGGGAAGTAAAATATAACACCTTTACGGATCTGTCTGCTTGTTTTTGGGGAGATGGGTATTTAGGGAGAAAATACTCATATAACAGTGTTTACCCGAAGGCAACGGGTACAGGTAGTCGTATTTATACAATGTATATCGTTGTCGAGGTCTGAGGAAGTATAGCATTTATGTATTATACATATATAATATATTATATAATGTTACCGTAAAACGACCAAAACGTAGAATATTCTTTAAAAGATTCATGTTTCTGTACTGGTATAAGTCTCGAAGGTACATTAAATTATTATACCTTCTCATGTGCTCCGGAAAACGTTCACCTTATAGGTATAAGGTACCTACACTGCAACAGTCAACTCTTTACGTTAGGTAACAATAGCATTTAGTGACGTTGTGTGTTCCTTACTATAAAATGTTTTTCTATTTGTATATCATCTACACACACCCTTCGTAATATTCTTTGTGTCTTTGTTTTATTAAAAACAGATTTTTCAATGTGCCCTGTTTTCTCGGTTTTGGTATAACATATTTTTGCGTCGTGACCATTATGTGGACATTTATACATAATTTTTTGTACCCGACACATGTATACGCGTGTAGTCTATTGTGTGGTACCTAGTAGGTACTAGGTATATATAATATATTTATCTATAATGTAACCTACACATAAATTAAGTCGTACCCACTTATTATTTATTTCACCGAGAAAGTGCTTATTTAAAACTTGTTAAATTGTATAGTTACTGAGTAAGTATGAATTTAAAATGTACAAGTTACAGCACAAGCACACATTATCTAGTTTTTGAAGAATAAAATCACAATGTGCCGTGATGCATTATTATATTACTATTCGTACTGAACGATGTCGTTTTACGATCTACAGTATAATCTGTTATTTTTTCTCGCATCTTTCCATTGTTATTAATTTTTTTTCAACTAGTTTACCGTATCCTTGAATGTTATACATTTAGATGAAAAGTATTATATTCATGCTCCGGGGATTTGTATTGATTCTCATAATAGTGTCGTCATCGTCTGCAATTAAACTCGCGCCCAAAATATACATGTTTATTTTCAATAAGAAAGTCTATGTTTTATGGAAATACGCTGGTTTCATTGCTTGTTAATAATATATATTAAATTCTATAATCCTTTTTGTTTATATTTGGAATAAACGACGCATTAAAGGCTTCGAGAAATTTTTTTGTTTAGTTTTTAGTAGTTTTTTCTTCGTGTTTTCCGACTATGCATTGCCACGTGATCATAAGACTACACTGCAGGGTCAAATCGAGTGTGTATATACAGATAATTTATAACTGGTGAACGTTGACAATAAGTATTATCCGTCGTCGTCAAGGATATATAATTTATTAATTGTATATGTGTATTGCACGCGCTGCAGTTTCTATTGTGTATTGGCCCCTAGTTTGTCTAGAAATCCGAATTTTCAACAGCTGCGTCTCTGGGATTAATGCGTTTATATATTATAATATATATAATACAAAATTATCGTTTTGAACGAGATCATATTTTTTCTTTTACTTTCACCTCGCTTTTCGATCAGCGATCATCATAAATTAACGCTAGTATACTTGTACTCGAGACACCGTATAGAGCAATGTATGTAATATATATATCATATAAATTAAAATATTTATTTATTATTATATGGTACAGTCATTAATTTTATTGCACTGCTTATATTGGCGTGTACCTACTCATACACGGATATTGCACAACAATTATTATTGTTGACACATATAAAATTAGTTTATAATATAGACTGCTCGCTTCGTTGTTATAATATAATGCTGTCCCCGGACAATGTATGCTTAGTAATACGATCTTGATTAAATACCGACATCGCGTTGTAGACTTGACGCAGCAATCGATTAACCAAATAGCTCCGACGCGTCCAATTTTTGTGTTTACTTTTAGTATTGATGAAAAATGGGGTCGTCACTTCGGTATAAAATGGGCATTACAGCTTTATTCCGTTTAACATCACTGCAAGTATACATATACAGCGGTCGTCGTCCCCGAGATTGGATAATATATATAGTATTACCCTCTGCAGTCGAGTAATAACTAATAATATTGTCGTCGATACTCGGTTTTTTCCCCCTTTTTATTTTTAAAACTACAAAAAGATCCCCTGAAACACATGGTGGTGGCGCTCTTCAATAAAGATCTATCCATCATTCTAAAAATACAGAATGTTATAATATAGTCCTGTATATCCAGCCCCGCATACCATTTGTTTACATTATAATAGTGAACTAGACGTGGATAACAAGAGCGTCGTATCGTGTGTTTATTATTTTTTATGTTCTATAAAAGCGTCTCGATTAGACATGCGTCAATATTTCATCATGTGTACGTCCATTATATCATTGTCATAGTAATTTCCTTGACTTGAAGCTTCTTCGTAGATACGTGATAACCGAACTAATGCAGAGCGACTTGCACAAAATTATTGTGTCGCCGCAGCAGCTGTCACCAGACCATATAAAAGTTTTCCTCTACCAGATCCTCAGGGGTCTCAAGTATCTGCATTCGGCACGAATATTGCACAGAGACATCAAACCAGGAAATCTGCTTGTCAACAGTAATTGTATTCTAAAGGTGCGTATATTGCAGTCTACAACTTAAAAGTATTGTACTGTAAAATATATATGCTTAACATTATAAATTGATACGCGATATGATAAAGTCTTGTTTTTTTCACATTCAGAGCGCGTATTTTGACCTAAATTTAATAATAATAATTATACTTTACATTCCTATCCAGAGTAGGTTTATTAATTTCACGCCCGAGTTCTACCGCAGCATGCATCACATCACGCGATTCGATGGCATTTCTGTATTTTCTATTACTTAATTAAAAATATAGATATTCTTATTAAATACACATAATAATAAAAAATTAAAAAATAATTATTTTATTCAAATTCATTAAAATGTATTTTAAGTAAAATCTTAATTCACCGAAAATTTAAATAATTTTTCACATTTACAAACATAAGTTTTTATGTCACTATAGTATACACTATAATGCTATAGCTCCCCTCTCTCTGTTTCGTGTTAGTCGATTCGGTTTTCTTTTCCTGTTTTCGAAACTATACTCTGGCTGTGTACGCTCGTGTATTGTTTCCAGAGCACTATTATAATGGAGAATATTTTAAAAGCATTTCAATGTACTTGCGATCATAAATCGTCAATAGCGATCAAAAACCGCAACGGTTAAATACACCATATAATATAATTATGATATTGTCGAATTTGAGACCACCGAGAGTACCCCGCTGTTTTAGTTAAATTCACTATAGAACTCGTACTTTTAAAATTTTTTTTATTGTTTATCTATTTTTTAGATTCATGTTAGAAATGCGTGATTGATTTTAAGGCCGTCACTTTTGTTATATATATAATATAAAATAAACCATACAACATATTATAATAGTTTTCACATTTCCCGTGTTCGTAGATATGCGACTTTGGTCTGGCCAGAGTTGAAGAACCAGATGAGACTAAACATATGACTCAAGAAGTGGTGACACAATATTATAGGGCGCCGGAAATACTGATGGGAGCCAAACACTACACATCGGCTATAGACGTCTGGAGTGTCGGTTGTATATTCGCCGAACTCGTTACCAGGCGGATACTGTTCCAAGGCCAAGACACAGTTCAACAAGTAAGTCACCCGAAGACCCCTAGTTAAGTGCACGTGGGTGTGGGAAATATAATAACCATTTTGGTGTCATAATACCTATTATATAGTATATATATATAATTGCAGTAAAATGTATGCTCATACCCGACGACGCGTGAATGATAATAATTATAATAATATTAGATATATGCCTATGTATACTCGAACTTATTTTTATACTTGCCATTTTTACAGTTGGAATTGATAACGGACTTGCTCGGTACGCCGACTATGGAAGACATGGCCCACGCGTGTCCGGCCGCCCGTTCCCACATGCTCATACGACGCATGAAGAAACCGTCCATGTCTCTGTTGTATTCTCTATCTTCGTTGATGACGCACGAGGCAGTTCACCTGATTTCCCAGATGCTAGTTTTCAACCCGGTAAGTGTTGACATACAGCCTGAGTTAAGCCATATGCAATAGCCTCTCAGGTATAGATCGGTATACCGCGTGCGGCGTGCCTCTATCAGAGTCGTTCTCTTTATTAACTTCTGGTTTTGTGTTTACGTGATATACAGGACAAACGGATGTCCGTCATGGACGCCCTGGTCCACCCTTACATAGACGAGGGCCGTCTCAGGTATCACAGCTGCATGTGCAAATGCTGTTTCACAGTACCGTTGACGGGTCTCCGGCATTTCTGTATGGATTACGAACCGGTGGCGCCACAGACGTTCGACGATAAATGGGAGAAGAAAATGTCGAATGTACAACAAGTCAAAGGTACGCATTTATACACACCATACAGTGTGTCGTTGTGTATTTCGCGGAAATGACGTCACAGTGACGGTGTATGTATGTTTACATTACACTAAATATTTATGTTTTACAGAGGAACTTCACAAGTTTATCGGCGACCAGTTGAGCAGTCACCGAGTGCCATTGTGCATAAATCCCCAGTCGGCGGCATTTAAAAGTTTCTCGAGGTAAGGCTGTGAGAAACGTCCAACTCTTCTGAATCACCAAATAAAACTTCGCCTCGACTAACCGGTACCTATATATATAGTATACATAATGCATATATACATACATTTTAATAATATCTCGGCATAGCACGTATATATGATTAACTATTATCTTACAAATATACATTTATGTATACATGTATAGGTATGTTGCCATTTTGGCTTAGTACGTATCCAAACGTATATAATTTTATTTTTATTTTATTTAATAATTTTGACAAAGTTTTTACTTTTTAATCAGTCCGTGAATGTGTACAAACGTGACTTTACCGTTTCGATTTTAAAATAATGTTGTTAGGTAGGTCCTACTTTATGGGTATTTGTCAGAATACTGAGAATATACACTTCGTTATTATTAGTTTACGGTTAGGTACTTCATTATGTTTTACCGTTGCGCAGTAATAGTAACTTCGGCGTTAGCATTTATAATTGTTTGAAAAAAATTGCTATTTTTAAACATGACGAATATCGCATTTTACATTGTTTTAAAAGCGTACCAATGTGTATATAAGTTGAATCAAACCAAAAAAATTTAACAAATTGTAGATTTTTATACATCAAATAAATATTGTCTATACTACAGAAATATATCATGAGGTCAGTATGTTGATCTTACTAGTTTTTGAATAACATTTTTGTATAATAAAACAAATATATATTGGTATATTTTATGAACTTCAATATTACAAAAAAAAAATATTTTTTTCCATTTTAATTAGAGTTCAACTCGTACATGTTTTCAATGAATCGACCTATTTAATATTTGCTACGTTTTCTTTTATCATCAATCTTAAAAACATAATACTCATGTATAACTTCTACTTTCACTGTTCAAAAAAAAATTTATAATTTCCATGCAAAATCCATATTCCCAAAATAAAAACTAGGTATACAATTCTTGAGTGTATACAACTAGTATAAATACTAAATAGTGATGAGATATACTATTTTTGACTAAATGCTAAATTACTAGTTTTTTGCAAATGAAAAAATTGGCATTATATGTAATTTAAACTTTGATATTGAAATTGAATACTTAACATTGTCAACAATATCAATGTAATTTTATCAAGAATTTTTTGCTATTTTCGAATACATACGGTTATAGTAGTAAAATATATTTCTATATATTTGTCGGTGATAAATATTAATTATATAAATGTGTGTGTGTGTGTATTTACGTATATT